TAGCCCTCTGGAGAATGGGGCATCAAAACACAGGATCTCCCATAGAGGGGGTGGTGGGTAAGAAACCCAATAACGTGGAAGTGCATTAACTCTTGAGGCCTTTACAACCCAATCTGCTAATCTATTTGAATCTCGAGGGCAGTAGGCTAACTCAAGACTCTCAAAAAGGGCCATGAAGACTAAGCATTCTGTGATAAGGGGCTCAACATCCCACGAACAGAGAGAGGAATCTTGTAGCAAGTAAGGAGATTTAGTCCTCACCGTAAGATCAAAATGTAAACATACGGTTATAAGAAGATGACTCACATATATATAGGGATATCCTCTCCCTAATTTATATCAATCCAAGCATTCGAGCAATAAAAATCTCTTGAGAACTTACTTTTCTTTCACTAGGGCGCGTTTGATAACGTTTCTACTTCTATATTTTTCTGTTCTTCTGTTCCCTGGAACAAAAAAAGAACAAAAATCTGTTTGGTAATGCATTTTATTTTTCTATTTCCTGGAATAGAAAAATGGCTAAGAAATAGATTTAGAACAGAAATAAGAAGTAGATTTTTTCTACTTCTTTGTTCCCAGAAACAAAAAAAGAAATAGAAAGGTTCGGTCCTCAAGCCGCGGTCTCAGCTCCTCCTCCATCCTCCATCGTCTGTAGACCGTCTCAAAGCACTGGTCCGGTCCATTCCCGGCGGGAATAATAATAAAAAAATTCATAAAAAAATTAAAAAATTCCAAAAATTCCAAAAATTCATAAAAATCAGAAAAATTCTCAAAAAATCCATAAAAATCAGGAAAACTCAGAAAACCCATAAAAATTTGCAAAATTCTGAAATTGAAAAAATCAAAAAAAATTCATAAAAAAGTTTCTGGAAAATAAAAAGAGAGATTTTGGGAAAGTAAAAAATTTTAATAAACTTTTCCCCAAAAAATCAAAAAAAATTCACAAAATGGCTTAGAATAAATTAAAAAATTCCGAAAATTCATAAAAATTAGAAAAATTTCAGAAAAATCCCTAAAAAAATTAGAAAATTAAAAAATTCCAAAAATTCATAAAAATCAGAAAAATTCTCAGAAAATCCATAAAAATCAGAAAAACTCAGAAAACCCATAAAAATTTGCAAAATTCCGAAATTGAAAAAATTTTAAAAAATTTCATAAAAAATTTTCTGGAAAATAAAAAGAAACAGATTTAGGGAAAGTAAAAAATTTTAACAAATTTTACCCCAAAAAAATTTTAAAAAAAATTCACAAAATGGCTTAGAATACCTGTGGCCACCCACTTTGAGTGAAATTTAAATTTTTTGAGATGCCCAAGTGGTATTTTTGAAGATTCCTTAGTTTAGGGATTAAAAGGGGTTTTAAACCTCTAAAAAGGATTAGACAAACCAATAAACCATGCTTATTGGTTTTTTTCACTTATAACTTGTACTTATGGTTAAATAAAAGATATAGATTTGAATGCAAAAAATTGGGAATAGAAATTTTGTGCAGTTAGCAAACGCATTCTTTTGCTCAAAAACTCATCCAGGAAATAGAAATAGAAAAAACTATTTCTGAAAAGAAATTGTTCCCAGAAACAGAAACGTTACCAAACACGCCCTAAAGCTCCCTTTCCAAAGTCCGAGAGTGCGTGCAAGACCTACTTAGGCCTAGCAAGAGTGATCAATCATGTCACATACTTGCGATCTCAAGTATCGTCCCGTGACACGTGACCATCACCAGGTATTACTCGTGCTGCACAGAAGACGAAGGCTCTAGGCTCAGGTGAAAGGAAAAGGCCCTGAAAAGCCCAAAAGCACGGACCAGCCCAGATAAAACAGGCTCCATTTTTTCGTGCCCAAGTTAAGCTGAGCCGGTCCTCAAGCCCAAAAATGAAATTTCATTTCTTGATCAGCCCGAAATAATTTTTAAATAACATATACTTGAAAGTTAATAATAAAAGATGAAATATTTAGGAAATAAATCGTACATCATTTATAAAACCCAATAAAACAAAATCTGATGTTCAAGGTCGAATTCAGAAAAAAAAAAAAATTTCGCCCAAAATCATGCTAAAATGTAAGGCCTAATTCCCTAAAAAAACTCCCAACTTTAGGTCAAGTCCCAAATCTGCCTCAAATTTTTTTTTGTCTCAGAAAAACCCCAAAGTTTAGTTCCAGTCTCAAATCTGCCTCGAACTTTTTTTTGTCTCAGAAAAACCCCAAACTTTAGGTTCAGTCCCAAATCTACCCCGAACTTTTTTATATCAGAAAAAACCCCAAACTTTAAGTTCAGTCGCAAATTTGCCCCGAATTTTGTTTTGTGCAAAAAAAAATCGGCAAATTTCAATTTATTTTAAAAAATATGCCCCCGTGATCCAGTCCCAACTTGACATGGCACTTCCACTTTGATAACAAATCCACATCAGCATAGTAATGGGGCGATAAATGCAGACCGACGTCACATTTCCACTTCGATAACAAACCCAACCCAATAAAAATTGTTGAAATTCTCCAAAATAAAATCATTCTATGATATGAAAGTTAGGAACGATAACAAATCCACCCCAAAAAAATTTTAATTTTAAAAAAAACCTAATTTTTAGGTTAAGTCCAAATTTGCTCCGAACTTTTCTTTATCTAAAAAAAAGCCCCATTACTTTGTTGATGTGGATTTGTTATCAACGTGGAAGCGCCATGTCAAATTGGGACTGGATCACAAGAGTATATTTTTAAAAAAAAATTGAAATTTGCTTTTTTTTTATACAAAAAAAATTCAGGGCAGATTTGTGATTGGATTTAAAGTTTGGGATTTTTTTTTAGACAAAAAAAAGTTCGGGGCAGATTTGGGACTAGACCTAAAGTTTAGGGATTTTTTTAAACAAAAAAAAGTTCGGGACAAATTTGGGACTTGACCTAAAGTTTGGGGTTTTTTAGGTAATTAGGCCTAAAAAGTAGAGTTGAGGTTAACAAAAAGCCTCAAACACAGTCCCCATCCGACTCTAAATGAGATTGCTAAATTGTACTAATAGGCCCCATAAGTTTAATCAATTTCATGTTAATAATTTCATAATCATATAAAAGAGTTTTGAAAATTGATAATTCACATATAACTTTATGAGAAAAACATATATTGGGTGCATTTATTTCGCGGCAAATGAATGATTTGGAAAATATTCTCTTAAAAATCATCGCTCACATCTTTTAACAAAATGAACAAACGAAAAAAAATTTATCATCCACGAAAATATTTAGACATAAATTATCGTCGACGACGAAAATATTTTTCATTAACTAATTATTTCGACCGATACAATCGATCATTTTCATAAAAAAGATTTTCAAATTATTCACGTTCCGCAAAACAAACAAAACCTTGGACATCGAACCAATTGATCCAGATCAATTTCTCATCAGTTAGAGCCAGGCCTCAAGATTGGACCCAAAAAAAATCCCTCTAGTCTAAGGCCTATTTCCATCCCTAGCACTCTAATGGGTGGGGACTACTTGAGCAATCTTCTTGAAAACCTTCCTTATCCAAACCACCAAGGATTGTGTCACGGAAAAAGCAAGTGGATCCTCCAATCAACTCCATTGATAAAGGACCTAGTGGCCCTCCAACTTGATCAACTCAAGATGTCCACTTCACTTCTTTCAATTCGTCCATCGGTGACCCTCCTATGAACTTGTCGCGATATCATGTACATTCGTCGTAATTTCAATACAAATCAGTAATCACGGATGTCTCGGTACATAACCACTTTGAAGAAAAATTTGTAATGAATGGCCGTGATCTGTTTTTTCGCAACACAACGCTATCGTAGTTTCGATAGATCCATCTTTTTCCGTCAAATTTTTTTTTTTCCCGAATATGCTTAGCACATGACAATGAAACAATAGAGAAAAGGGGGTAAGAAAGGGTCGTGCAAACCCCTCGCCGTGTCTCGACAGTGGTTCCACCTTCCCATGTCCCTTTTCACCGTCACGCGTCGATTCCGTGCCCGGCACCACACGCACCGAAATTTATCAATGTCGCATCAGCATTTCGACAAAATCAATAATGACGAGCAAAACAAAGGTCGTGTTGCAAAAAATCGAGCGAGTTAGACGGATCAACGAAAAACGAAATCGACTCTAAGAAATACTGCAAATTTAGAGGGACCAAAACTAGATTTTAACCCTTTTATCCAATGCCAATGAACAACACTCACGAGCATAGGAGCTTGATTGCAGCATAAGAACCTAACGTGCGGGAGATCCATGGCAATGAAGTAGGTCGATGCTGAGACACATCACGACATTAAACCTGACACGGTCCCATACACCCCCAAGATCAGGCACACCACATGGGGAAGAGAGACCCACCCGGGGACTTTTCGCGAGATACCCATCTTGACCCACCAAAGGGTGGAAAAAAGAGAAGTTGCAGGACAACTCAGGATGACCGATGCGAGCAAGAAACCAAACTTTCAGTCACGCAAAGCTGAAGGCCCTACCAACAGAGAGGAAAAGGAAGATTGGTTTGAAATCGTTTTCGGACTTGCATTGAACCTTTCCCTGACCTTTCGAACCGAGGTTTTGTCGCGGCTTCGGCCATCACGCGTGCTAGCGAAAGGGAAAGCTTGAGAACAGGTCGTCGGAAGACCCCCAAGTTGAGCTAGCGACGAGGAAAAACCAGATAATGAGGGCCTCCCGTGTCCAACCAGCTCAATAATTCCCAGAAAGTTTGTCCGGGCATTGTTGGGTTATGTAGAGTAACATGGCAGATCCGCAGCGCGAATCTAAAGATTAGATCACACGAATTTCACATGCCAGTCAGGCGGACAGGAGCGGCGATTTCGTTTGCCGATTAATTAAACCTAACAAAGGAAGAGCAAAAGTGGTTTTGGTTCGACATCAAAACAAGAGTAAACTTTGTTTCTTCACAAAGTCATCTAAGAGGACAATTTCTGTATTTCAAGCTCCAAGAGATGCATGATAAGTAAAGAACAGATTGACAGTAAATAAGCATAGAAAAGAATGTGACCTTCGAACCGAGCTTCTGCATAATCTTGCCATCATTCGAATGATTGTAAATAGAGGTCAAGGAGGCAGACCGAGCATTTGCTCTCTCATAATTGAATTGGAAAGGACCTTTCACAGCGAATGCTCCAACTGAAAAAATTAACTATACATAATCTTTTAAGGAAAAGGGTTCGGGTCACATGAGATCAAGCTAGAGTTTCCTCTTTAAAATGGCACTTCGCAACACAGTTTCAAGAGACATAGTAGGCGGCCGGAATGTGTAGAGTCCCCGAATCAGATGAGCCACATCATTAAGATTGTTGATCGGCAAGAGTTTGCGAAATGCTCAAGCACGAGCCTTGCTGCTCCCTAGTGTGAGCTCCAGATCTTCCACCCCAATCTCATGAATCCTCTCACCTTCCCAAGGCTTAACTCTTCCATTCTCAAACTCAAATTCAGAGCCCCAACCCCTGTCAGACGATGCTCCCCAACCTAAACTGCCGTTTTGTTCAACTCCATCCTTGAGAGGACCCTGTTGACTCGCAGATTTGACCAGATTAAACGTAGGCGAAGGCGGAGCTGCCGCAGCCACCACCATGTTTTGGTGGAAGCTCACCCATCTGCCAGAGTCCACTGTGGAGGCATCCGACTCGTCGCACTCTGGGATTGTTGGAGGCGTCATGTTTTGGCGGCGAGTGGGACTGGAGGGAGCAGAGGCCGCGAACAGAGGGTGGCGGAAGGAGGACTTATGTAGGGAGCCACTGGAGATGGATTCCCAGTCAGGTTTCCGCTTCGAGTTCCGAGAAGTCGGGGAAGAGAGAGGAGGCGTCACTGGGGCACTGTTGGAAATTCTCAAGGGAGGGAGATTTGCCGGGATGGAAGCGATGTTACGGAGGAACGGAAGGAGGTACGAGGACGGATTGGCATCGAACCGGGTAGGGCTAGGGAAGGACGACGAAGTGGGGCTGGCATGGTAGGACGGGACAGGGCTCGGAAATGCCGAGGATTGTGGACTTGGTTGAATTGAGGAGCATGCGCTGATGTTTGCTGAAGTGCCTGTGAATTCGCCCGGAGGTGGCTTGCTTCCCTGGGTGAGTAGTATCATTAATAAAATGAGAGAGGACCCAATCTCTAATCCTAAAGCAGAATATGGCATACTACCATGGTTTTCACCAAACATAGTCTTTTGGGGAAATGGCAATATGGCTCAGTCCCAGAAAGAGCAAAAATGAGAACCCAATACTCAAATCTCTTCAACTAAAAGGACAAGAAATCAGTAATTCTACAAACAGAAAGAGTAATTACGAGGTCAACCGCGAAATTAAGATGTCAACTCAACACAAATCGATTAAGAGATCGCTTGATGAGAAGGGACTAAAGCATTTAATTTGGGAGGACAAAGGGAAGGGCTCAAGCTGAACAACTCGACTCCCCCAATTCACCCAGGTCATAACAACAAGAAAGCTCACAAATCCGGTCCATAATAAATTCCACCACTTTCAGATTTCACCATCCACTATGACAAATCTGAAAGTTCCTACATATGGTAACAAATTTAGCTGCACATCGGACAGAAATGGACTTGAATGGCATAGAAAGAACCAACCCATCATCAGATCCAACAGCTAAACAAGAAAAAGGCAAATCAGACAAAAGCCTCAACCCATCTCCAGATTGAAAATCACCGAACCAACCATCCACTAAAAAAGAAATCCGAAACAAGGAGGAGGACAGCAACAAGAGGGTTTCATGGATCTTGAAAAGAAATGATCCTAATAGAACAGGGAGATCATGCGAAAAAAGAAAGGAAAAAAGAAGAGGAAAAAGGGACTACCTTTCGATAAGTAGAACCATCTTCTTCGACGACCCAACCGGCTTCAGCGCACAGAGCTTTCAAGACCTCATTGTTGTCGCAGTGCTTGGGGAGCTTGTAGTTCCCCTGAGCTCTGAGGCCCGTGTATATCTTGGCGGCTATGGCTCTCCTCCTCCTCTCCCTCCTCTTGTTGTTCTCCCTCTCCTTCCATGTCGGAAGCCTCCCTGAGGCCCCTCCGGCCATTCTTTACCCCCTCTCTCTCTCTCTCTCTGCAAACCCCACTTCCTGTTTTCTCTGTTTCTCTCTCTCTCTCTCTCTCTCTCTCCCTCTCCTAAGAAAGTCTCTGTGTGTTTTGGTGGGGTGCGGGGGCGTTTCTTTCTCTCTCTGCTGGTGCTATTCCTCTTTCACGAGGTCGAGGTCCAGGGTTCCTTTGTTTATTTATTTCAGAGTGCTCTGCTTTCTTTAATCTTTCATGTGGCAGAAGGGCGCTGAGATTCTTCCCTCTCTCTCTCTCTCCTCCCCTGTTCACACTTTATAGACTTTTGCTCTTCTCTTTCACTGCCCCCATGAGCCTCCAGTCTTGTGAATTGAGCTAATGGTCAATAAAAAGATGAGATAATCCTAAGCATTACTTAAATTTGGATGGTTAAATATTTCAGCTTATATTATACTTACTAGCTAAATCGCGTGTGAACTCGATCTATCGCGTAGTCATCTGTTTTCCCACGCGGTCACAAGCTTGCTATAAGTCGTGAGCACTTTTTGAAACGGCTCTCGATGCGACTCTCGGCCACCACGTACATCATGTGAAGAGATCGGCTGCCCGCGTCTTGGAGAAGCCGCGGTGCACTAATGGGCTTGCTGATTTCGGCGTTTTAGATCGCACGATGTCTCTTTAGTGCTGGAACAGTCTAGAATGTTTAAACAAGTCGAGCATCTTACACGAGAATCCCGCTTGCTTTAGTCATTCTTGTGCATGAGTTCAAGTTAATCAATTTTAGTAGAAATGTTTTTCATGGATTACTCCAAAACATAGGACCTTTTCAAATGACAAATTTCAGCAGAAAGTAATTCATAGAATGTCCTCCATGTCAAGCTACTTTTATCAATTTCAAACCTACTCCAAAAAAATTACTAGAAAAGTACAAATTAACTACTATAATCTCATGCCACGAAACCTACCAACCATATCTAGAGACATGATCCTTAAAATGCCATATCCTATTTGGGAATCTCCATGTTACATATCGATCTTATTTAATCGTGTTATTACTACTGGCTCTCTTTGCAAGTTCTCAAAACCCCTTTTAAAATGAGCTATGCATTATCATATTAGAAGATGATACACATTTATGCCATTCCGAATATGATCGCGCTAAACCCCGAACACGATCGAGTACCAATCGTGTCCCAAAAAAAGAGACCTTTGGGGCGATCCTATCGATACGACCATCAAAGATCCAATCACGAGTAATATGCTGTTACTCTCTTAACCTCTATACGAATGGTACACGTTTCGACATTACGAAGAAGTGACTATAATGCACGAAAATCCGCAATGCAAGAGATGTTATGACTAGAAATGAAATGAGAAAACATAGGGCTGTAAAGTATGGAGAAATCCGAGCATATGATATGGAGGGGGGATTGGTGCCACACGAGGCACTCGGACCAGTCAAAGGGGAGCTCTTCCAAACGAACGTGGCTGCCTTATATAACCCAAAAAACAAAACAAAAAACCACTATGATTTTGCTCGAATGGGGGACCCCCCAAGGCATGGGCGCCTCCATTATTGACAAAATTTTTTTGGATGATTCGAAAGCATAAGGAAAAAAGAAAATATAACCTAAAATAAAAACGAGGATTTCATTATAAATTGGAGGGGGTCTTTTGTTATTTTCTATATCCCGCACCTTCTGTCATTATGCTACCGATTTATTCGCGAGTCTCTATATTGTTGTGCCCAAGTCATAACCGTGTCGCGATCCGCACGTTGCAACTTGAATCGTACGCGTCTCAAAACCGTGACATTCCAAAGCTACTGCGGGCAACTCGAGACTTTGGAAGCGCTACAGCTTTTAGCCACGGGAACGTTCGCTGACCCCCCACCCGGTTTTAAAGCTCAAGCGCCCTGCCGCCGCCGCCGCCGCGAGAACAGGCCATGCCAAACAGCATCTCGAGCACGGCGATTCCCGTCCGGGTTCGCGCACGCGGGGGGGAGAATCGGGTGCTCGGCTCGCGCACGAATTGCAAGGAAACTTTCTCGGTTAAATTCGGGCCCGCCACGTGTCCCCGGGACCCGGACGACGTGGATCCCGCGCGGGACCCACGGGAATCCCCTCCGGCGCTCCCGGGATCGGGCCCCCACGCGGGCCCTCCTTCGCCTAAAGGTAGAAACATCGATCTTGTTCTGTTCCCTCGCCTCGTCATGTGGAGAGAGAGAGATCGGGAAACGCGATCGCGGCCCTCCATCGCGCGGACGCCGCCGCCGAAGAGACCCGCCTACCGCGAATCGGACGGTCGAGGAACGGGGACCCACGCGCTCCCGCCGTACCCCGCGACGCACCCGCGCGAGGCCGCCCCGACCGACGATGCTTTCTGGCAAAGGAAAGAAAGATGCTCTGCCCCCCGCTCCGGTAATTGGGGGTCGTCTTCCTTCGTTCGGCCCTGACGTTGATGTTCAGTTTGAACGGTCAGGATACGGCCAGGCGGGGGGGCGGGCCCCACCGGTACTTGCCGAGTGGGCCCCCCCTCCCCGCATGTCCCGGTCGGCTCCACACGTGCGACCGTTCTTTCTTTCTCTTTCTTTCTCTCCAAATTTATTTCATTTTATTTTTATTTTTATTTTTAAAATTTTTCCGATTTTCCGGTACTCGTCGGATATGCGGTTGCCCAATTTTTTTTTTCTCCCTCGATTACGATAAATTAATTCCGCGTCCAAGAGGATTTTCTAATTCGATTTTTCTATTGTGTGTAGGAAATTGTTAATAAAATTACCACGGTCTACATCGGCCGGCACGAAAAGGATAATGACTAATGGACAACGTGTATCGGACTGCGCCATGCCTAGAAATTCGAGTAAAATAAAGATTATTCAAATCCCAAATTTTTTGGCAGAAAGTTTTCTAGTCTCATTTTTTCTGGTGATAGTAGTAATAATAATAATTTAAAATGCATTTTAAAGGAATATATAATTTATTTCGAACGACATAGATACAAAACAAATACTTTAGCCATCTCGATAAGTGGGACATAACATGTGAATGTGGTCCCCACCAACCCCTTCGCTTTTGCACGGTGATTGGTTGGTTCGATGGCTGCGCCTCTTGAGGAAATTGCACGGCATCGCTCGCTCGGTCTCTTCTTACTTTTCTGATGGAACGACATATTGTTGGACTTTATTTTACTAAGCAAACCCAAATTTGATATATCTATATCCGATGTTATGTAAAATATTTCTCATGATTTTACGGCCTAAAAATGAAAATGTTACCCAATTTTATTTTTAACGGGCCCACCAATAGTGCTAGCTAACGATAACTTGTATATTATTTTCGTGACGAGTCAAGTCGTCGGTGCAAAACTCGGGTTATTTGTACAATCATCCCCGGATTCAAAATTGCTCGTTCCTATGAAAACAGACGGATAACATTAATACTTACAAACAATTAAGAGGTACGTGCTTTGCCAATGTGGAAAGCTACGAACTGAGGGGAAAGAGTTATATACTGTACGAAAAATCATGGATTATGGGTGCGTTCATTTCGCGAAAAATGATAATCGCTCACGAAAATAGTTAGGCATAAATTATTATCGACGATGAAAATTTTCTCCATTGACTAATTTATCTGAACGATATAATCAATTATTTTTCGGAAAATATTTTTCAAATCACTCATTTTCCGCGAAACGAGCGCACTCTACGTGTCATTGTATAGAAATAGCTTATCGCCGAAAGATTGGAAGTTAATTATCCCCTTGAAAATTTACAAAATCGCGTAAAGAAATTACTATTTGCTCACAGGTACATACTTGGTCATCGTGTGAAAATGAGAAGTTAAACAGTTCCTCTGCCAAACTTTTGCCGGTGTTTCCATTTGGCAAGGCAGTACAAGGTTGACCCATACTGAAAATCCTCACCTAACTCGATTGAAACTAGACCTGCAAAAGGGATTGATTTTCAACTCCCATCCCAAATGCATGGACTAGTTTATTCATTTTCCATAGTATAAGGACTACTAGCTTAAAAATCCGAAGTACGCAAGAATGTCACGGCAATGCTCGGAATATTGTCCAGCGAGTCATAAACCTATTATATGGACGTCACTTCAATCCTAAACTTTTCAATTCTGCCAATTTAGTCATATGCTTTTGCGTGAATTTCCAGTGTAGCCATTCCGGTCAATTTTCGCCGGAAACTGCTGACATAACGGTGTGCCACATAGGACTGCCGGCGATGACCAGATCGTCACGCTAGCGATTTTCAGGAGAAAATTGGCAGGGATGATTACATTGGAATTTCGTGCAAAATTTTAGGACTGAATTGGCATCCGTACAATAGGTTTAAGACTGATTGGGTAATTTTCCCTCGACATTTCGCGGTAGAAAGAAAATTTGCAAGGTGAGCCCAAAGAAATGATCGATCATAGCATACCCTTGTTCCTACCTAGCAAAAGGATATGCTCTCTCTCTCTCTCTCTCTTCTTTTGCTTCCTTGCAATCAATGTGGGCACCTCGATCTTGCTATATAGCTTCTAGCGAATTGCCCCGGGCATGTCGTCCGATGTCCAGCCTTTGATTCAGCAATATCTATATCGCGTTGCTTCCGAACATGATTGATCATGCTGTTGATGTTGTTGTTAATCATGAGAAGACAGCAATTAGCCCACATTAGCTGTGCGTGTTGGGAGAAAACATGGAACGACAATGCATGTGCAATGCGAAACGCCAAGTCCTCAAGTTTTTGCTATTGCGGTGGTCCATGATCGAGCTCGACGCACGCATGCCGTGCATCCAGCTCAAAGATGGAAAGGGACGCGAAAACTAGCTGGCCAAGCCAGAGCCGCAATGCTGAATTTTTATTCTAAAAGGATTTATGATTTGACATGCTAATAAAATAAATAAATAAATGCTTCGCAAACAGGAGTAGCATACAGATAGAAATAATTAAATATTACATCACGCCTTCGTTTAATAACTTAAACTTTTAGAACAGTTGGCAGTGGTTGCACCGGATTTCATATGGTAACAGAGCTGGAGGTTCTGAGTTCAAATATTTCCGGTCCCCATTTGCCAACATGTTGAAGGTGCATCGATATTGTAAAAGCGTGTGCTCATTACGATGGTTGGGTCGACTTAGTCTACTCCGCTAGCCAAGCTCCGACAGCCCTAACAAGTGCGGAAACCACTATGTAATGCTTGAGATGCTATAGCTCGTATATAATGTGCTACTTCTACTTGAACCTTTTAGAGTTGGTGTTGGCTGTTTGCTTGTAAAACAAACAAAATAGTGTCTTTTTCCC